AAATTGATAGTTTCTCTAGTAGCATAACTACTATTTCAGTTCTGAAAATAGCATCAAGAACAGTGCAGACCAACACGTTGGCTGATCTTTAGTAAATGACAGTATGAAATATCTGATAAGTCCCAAGCATGAAAGAGGAGTGAAAATCCTCAATCATCAACACCTCCCTTGATATCTTTAAGTAAGACTTCAAAGTGGCTATCCAGAAGTGGGTGGAAGAGGTGGATTAACTCTGGTACATAAGTAACTGAAAAATGTTTCTAAACCCTAAAATATATATCTATGATTTGAAACATTAATATCCACGAGTAACTTCTATATATCCCTCCATGCACGATTTCTTGGCTAAAAAAGAATCAAACTTTTTATTCAAGAACCCATATTTTCAATCCAACTTCTTTTTAAAAATGATTTAGCATCCTCTCTTCCCAAAGCACATATTGATTGCTTAATCTGAAAAAGGATCAGCTTAATTTTGATCAGTCTTGTCCAGACCTCAGCAGCTACACCATCTAGTGGCTAGAAACATTCTCAGCATCTAGATGGGGAAGAAGTTACAGCTACAAGATAATGTTGTTTGTTCTTAATTGGGTGGGGAGGGGCGGAGAGAGAGAGCGAGAGAGAGAGAGAGAGAGAGAGAAGATCAGGAAGATAAAGGAAGGCCTAGGACTCTGATGCAGTTAATAGTCTGAAAGAAACCATTTCACACCACACAATAAGTAATGGTCTTTCTAATACTTAAAATAGAACTGGAAATCAGTTCACTTGGTTATGTTAGCAGAAAAATGAATACAATGCTTTTGTATTTAAAATAAAGAATGACAGCTTTGTCAAAATTAATAAGCACTAGTAAACAACAAATAAAAATGGTTAGCATTAGTTTATAGTGTTTCTTCCTATGCTGTCTTTTAATACCGTGTTGCAATAAGCAGCCATTTGTGCAGTTGGCAACTTAACAAAAATGGGTTCTCTGGGGCATTTCAGGCTAAAGTACTGAGAACACTTTATCTGTGGCCAAGTGGCAGACCTTTGCTTACAGCACGTGCCCCGGGGATCTAGAGTTAATGAGACACAATAAAAGGCAAATGGTTTAGAAACAATATACAAAGGATCCCCAGAGTCAAACAAAAGAAAATCCATTTCCCAAAAATATACATGTGGTATACGCTTAAAACTCATGTAGCACAAAAGGTAACCCAAGTTATTCCATTCGACCAGAAAACCCCTTCTAAAAAGGGCATATGTCTTTTTATTATTATTTTTATTTGCAATGACTGAAATGGCCAATTCTTCCAAATGAAAGCATGGCTAGTCAACCAACAGAATATCTTTTCTGTCTTTAAATATACTATTTACTTAAATATAGTATTCCAGAATCATAGTGATGTCCTATAAAGCCAAGTTCAGAAATAAACTAACCAAAATAAAAGAGGCATGTTTTATAGCTCCCTCCCCCAAGTTCTTTTCCAATAGCACAGATTTTGGGAAAAATAATGCTTTCTCCATTCTGTCATTTTCCATTACTCTTCACTGTCTGCCCTATTCCTCTAACCATTCTAGACCCCTTTGGTTTCTGGGCTGCTGCTATTCCCCACCTTGGGGCAATTGAAAGAGGAAAGATGGGAAGCCATCTCCATTGTTGGTTTCATCATTACCTCTTTGTAAGAAGGCAAGGAAATTGAGTATTTTGAAAATAGGGAAGGAATGACTGTTAAAGAGAGTGGAGATAGACCTTTCTCAATCATCTTCCCCCGAGAATGAAATATTACAGAGCGGTCCATCATTACGGAGACCCTCTGGGCCAAAGAGCATTTCTTCAATAAGGAACTTATTTCTGCCTCCTTTACACATGGGGAAACACAAGGAGTGACTGATCACTTCACTTCAGGCCGTGGGTTACAGTGAGTGAGGGACCTAATGCATGATGTTCTGATTTTTCTAAATAATTGTTGGCTTTTCTGAAGTTTTGATAATTTTTGTGTTTTTATTATATTTTTTACTCTATATTTTATGAGCTACCCAAAGTCATAACACATTGAGGCAATATATACATTCCACAGATAAAATAAAGTATGTCCAATTATGTCAGCCAGAAAAAGCAAGGGTCAAGCAACCAGATGGACACCCTGATCTCTCTATATTTTATTATTTAAAATGCGTACTTTATTATTTAAAAGTATATCCTCACTTAAAAGCTTTGCCTCACTTTCTCAAATTCTCTCTCCTTTTTAAAAACACCATACCTTTTAGAAGGGTCTTTTTGAAGACACAACGAAATTAGTTTTCTAAAGGACTTGCCATATTTCTTTGTCATTTCTTTATCTTCTACTCCTGTTTCCAGTGTTGGAGGATCATTTTGCAAGGTCAGCATTAATACCTGTTTTAAAAAAAAAAATTAAGAGAGTAGCCTTAGCCAAATTAACAGTGCTTTAAATAATGTTAAATTACAGTATTATGCAAAGAAAGCTAGACAATAATTTCAACAACTACATGAAAAAGTAGGGGCACAATAAAATGTTCTTGACTCTGAATTGCCACACCACTTTACAGAATATATACCAGTCAGTTTCAAACTAGATATGAATCCCTAAATATAAATGACAGTTCAGAAATTCAGAATAAGCCTGAGGATTTGCAGAGTGAGGCTGGTGGGACTAGAAAGTCTCAAGCTTCATGTGACCATCTGAATATGGATTAGATAGCACTAATTACCATCTTTCATTCCAGTCTACCTAAAGGTGTTCTGAAGATAAAACAAGGAGAGATATTCACCACCCAGAGCTCCTTCAAAGAGATGGGACAAGTATATAATAAGAAATAACAGTTTTACAATCTTTAATGTCATGGATTGGGAAAAGTCTATAGCATAACACCCCTTCCCTAATGTGAACAACTCATGCTACAATCAGTTAACACTAATTAGAGAGTGTTATTAAGCAGCTTTTAAGCCTCAATCATGGATGCCAACATAAGGCCTAAACACAAAGAACAATTTTATGATTAGAGAGAAGAAGCTGGGGAAGAAAGGCTTCATGCAAACCTATGGTTGACTTGCTTATTATTATTATTCATTAAATTTATATGTCACATTTCATACAGAATTAGAGTAGTTTAAAAATCAAAATATACTAAAAAAAAATCAAAAGCAGTGTAAGAAAACAGTATTCAGTAACCATGAGCAAAATCCCACTAGCAGGAACAAAGCCTAGGAGAATGAGATGGGTCTTCAGCAATTGGAGCAACTGCAGTATTGAAAATACCAAAGACACTCCAAAAGGTATCACAATTAATAAGTTTAATTGGCACCATCAATTACCCTGATTCAGGAAACCACATCCTCCTGGCCATAGCCAATCTGTGTCACTATAAGCTAAAATAATGATCTCTAGATTTTAATGAAACATACATTTTGCAGAAACAATACACTGCCATACTGACTTATTCTGCCAAACATTTATTTTGCAGTTGTTTTCAAACATAAGAAGGAGGGGGAAGAGAAACATAAGCTTCTGGTTTTTTTAAGGTAACATTAATATAACTCTGACAATTCCGATACCTGGAATCATCCCAGCTCCCTGGAGGTTTAAACACACAAAAAGTTTTGTCTCCAAGGAGTATAAAATGCTGTATTCAGTTTTGTTAGCTCCTGAACAGGTGAAATTGGATCCTAGATATTTACAAGGTATTTCCTGTCCTGTGAGAAGTCACAGAAAATTAAAAGCCTGTTCAGACTTGCTTCATTCACTCGCCCTTTGCAGAGCAGGTCCAGAAGAGCTATTTAATTCTGTGGTATAGTAATTATGGAGAGATTCAGGTTCAATCCACCCTCAGCTATGGAAGCTCTCTGAGTGACCTCGAGCCAGTTGCTCACTCTCAGCTAACCAACTCATAGGGTTGTTCTGGGGACAAAACTGGAGGGAAAAGATAGTGTGTGCCATCTTGAGCTCCTGCAGAAAGATGAGATATACAACTAACTAATAAATAAACAGGCAGGGCCACTTTGCACCCTTCTCCCTCCGTCAACTCCCTAAAAGATGCCTTCTGGTGGATGGGATACCCACATGAATTGAGAGGGCTCAGTGCAATTAGCTCAGGAACATAAGAAGAAGGGGAAGCTTTCTGGTCTAAGCCATTAATACTTTAATTTATTTCAATCTACAGATCTGGAATGTGGTTTATTTTATTATTTTGTTTTAAGTGCACAGCCACATTCCCATTTGTATGTGAAATTAAATTATAACTCTACCAAGTTTTTGTATCCCACAGGCAAGTAATTATATCGAACACAAGTTGTATCAACAGTCATCTCAGTTCTTAATACGTAAATCCTGCTCATTTTTTATTAAATGAAATGTCCAGTAACACTTCAAAACCAAATTTAAATAAAAACATCTCCAATTTCTATTACTTTGCAATTATGAAGATACTGGCTTAAGACAAAAGCTAAAGTTTTATGTGAATTCATAGGTTAGTTTAGCCATGGTTTGGTAAGTAAACCAAAATAGCTGAGTTCTCAGATAATGCTAAGCCAAAATTATGCTTTTATGAACCACTATGGCTGATTTTACTTATCACATTAAGCCAAAATCAAAGAAACCATAATATGTCGACCCAGCTAAAGCCTCAATAGCTACTTAATACACATGACTTATATATTTCTGTTACAATTATAAGTCTAGAACAGGCCTGTACAACTTGTAGAGTGGAAAGGGCCACGCTGATCAATTAAAAATAATTGTGGCCCACCAAGGAATAGCTGGGGTATCGATCAGCTGTCGGAGCAATGGCAACAATGCAGCTGGTGGTGCCAGTGAGGCCTGGAGGTCTTGGAGGCACTAGTGGCACAGTGTGTTTTTGGGGGCGGTGGCAGCGGATCCTTCCTGGTAGTGGCAACATTTGGCACTGGTGGATTTACTGAGTTTTTTAAAAATGCCAGCGGGCCACCCAAGGCTGCTTAGCAGACTGTATGTTGTGCAGGCCTGATCTAGAAGATCACATAAATAGAGCTATAGATTCCTGAATGCTATAATGCACTCACATTCACACATAGACATAAACTAAGCACTTTGCTGAATTGAACTGGAGAACAGTGGGCATGTAGTACCCAGAAATACCATCTTGTTAAATCCCAAAAGGAGACAGCAACTCCACCCAGCTAAAAAAACCCGGTCTAAAAAGATCATTGGGATATAGACAAGGCTGGAGAGAGGAGATGGTAAGGAATCAATCTCTTTCAACCCCTTACAGCTTATATCTGGGAGGAGGGCACAGACAGCCAGTGTCCTAAGCCAAGCCCCAGCTATTATAAGGTCAGCATACTATTCTGTTGTAGATATCATTTGTACAGCTCTAGATCCAAGACCTGAAAAGTTTGTTATGCAACTTTATATTTCATGTTCATTTTCCAGGTATAATTACTTTCATTGGAGGGTATTTGTGGTAGGGTGCTGCCCCTGTGGCTAATTCAATGGCTGTTATTCCAAAGCTCCAGATGTCAGCCTTGAAGTCATAGCCTCTCACCTATTGTAGGAAAATATAAAACAGACAAGTTAATTTAGCAACTGTATACTTAATCCAGTACATGACATAATAAATTTCTAAGTCTTATACCTGTTCCATGACTTCAGGAGCCATCCAACATGGAGTACCAACAAATGTCTTTCTTACTTTGTTACGGGTCATATCACCTCCTGTGGCTAAAAATGCACTAACTCCAAAATCTAGGAAGAGAAAATACAGAAATTTTCTTAGCATTCAATTCACTTATTAAACTGAAGCTCTGAATCTGAAGCTCCTGTTTAAGTACGTAGCATGAGACTTCTATTTAAATGAAGCTGTTAATTTAATATTTTCTCAGTAGGTGAAATGTTATGTAGGTTTTAAAAATGAGACATCTCTTCCATTTACGAATCACATCTATAAACATTTTTAACCTTCTTCATTGCATCATAAAATACGTACAGATACCAACAAGGTGCCTGTTTCTTTCACGCTACCATTTGAGGTCAGTATTCCCCTACATTCAATTGAGAATGTAAAGATGCTATTAGTAGGTCTGCATCAAAGTTCCAGCAGGGTAAGAGCAAAAAAAAAAAAAAAAAAGCAGCCTGACATCTATTTCTGCTTCAAATATCTTATGAAGACACAAGATCAGAGGGAAAATGTTAACAGTCATACAAAGCTTGTGGGAAAAACTAATTAAAGGTGTCCAGCGTTGCAGGGGAAGTGTAGCAATAATGTGTGCAAATCAAGAAATAGCTAAAAGCATAGTAGGATCAGATCAATGTAATTCTAGGCTACATGGAGTATGTTACAGTAGTTAACTAGGTGGCTATGGGAATGGAAGGAAATGGGCCACAGGCAAGAAATGGGAGCAGAAATGCAAGAAATAGAACCATAGATTCCCATTATCAAGCAAAAATTCCAATAGCAAGAGGTTCAGAGAACATTCATGCATACACTTGTATGCAAGAATCACTACACTCATCCATATATGTGGGTGGAGGAGGGCTGCACCATATGCAGATTTCTGGCATGACCTCATCCCTGCTCATAATAGTTTATTTTGTAAATGCATCTTGCCTCTAAAGCTATGGATTGCTGGTTGCCTATCATTGCTAGAAGATATTTAGGAACACTTCCATCCCAGAAGAATGTAGATAGCACTGTGCATTGTTCATACATGTATACTGCCATTTCTGAGATCAAGTCATGCATTTATATAAAAGCAGCCATATATTTGATGACAAAATACCAAATATAATATAAATCAGATACATGTAGATGAACTCATGTATTCAGGCTACAGATTTATAATCAATCTTACTGTTTATTTCCTTTGTACTATTTCTTTTCAGTATACTTTTTAAAAGTGCAGTAAAGAACACTTCAAGATATGTGGTGTTCACTTGTGCTTCAGGTTCACATCACTGACTTCTTGTCTGGATTATCCTAATGCTCTGTACATGAAGTTACCTCTGAAGCAGACTGGACCCTTCACTTAGTCCAAACTAGAGGTACAGGCTTGCCAACTGGGACAGGATGTTATGATCACAAGATACCAGTGTTTCACCAATTGTTCTGGCTGCCCATCTGGGCTCAAGACAAAGCCTTGGTTTTTTATTAATCCCTGAATATCTTGGGGTCTGAGAACAAACTCTGGTTATCTTTGGAGCTCCAGTCCTTCTCTGATGAAGTAAGTGAAGCAAATCAAGTCAAAACAAGGAAGAGTGATTCTCAATCATGATTCTTCTCTTATAGAATTCCCTTTCCAGAGAGCTATGTCTGGCACTTACATTAAGTCTCTTCCAGTGCTAGGCAAAGACACTCATTTCCTCTCTAGCATTTCTATAATTCTATTTTCGGTATGGTTTTAAAATAGAATAGTGGATTCTATATGTTGGATGTATGTTATTTATTTCATTTCATTGTTTTCTTCCTGTTTTGTAGTAATACTTTTAGAAATGCTTCATATTTTGAACACTACTTGCAATATTATGTGGATTAAATATATCACATAACTAGTATAATGCTTTAGGAAAGAAACTGCAATAAATATGTACATGCCCTCCCTATTTGATACATTACTTCCATACTCTTCTCCACTCTTCAAAAATGAATTTTGTAAGGAAAAAGTAGTTTGTCCAGTGCAGAGTTAGCTTGGAGGATATACCACAATGCTACTACAAGATGCAGTGAAAGCCAACTTCCTAGACATCTTTAAACGGAGATAGACACATTCAGAGAAAACCTATCAGCAGCTACTAGTCCCAATAGCTATGTATTAACTCTACAATCAGATGAAGTAAACATTTCAGTACTAATTGTTCAGAACACAAGTGGGAAGATAATCTTGAACTTTTGTCCTGTTTGTGTACTACTGTGAGAACAGCAGGCTGGACTCAACAGCTTCATCTAACAGGGTTATGTCCTCCTTTAAATAACTGTAAGTATATCATCAAGAACATTGGCATCCATCTTGACACCATGTAGCATGCGTATGTTCGGACAAAATCACAAAGTACACAGAATGCACAATTAAAGTTACTTATTTTAAATAGGGTGATGATTGTAATCTTTGTTATGAGTCAATAAATATGAGTTGTGCGCATCAATATGCATCTTGGTCTTAAACTTGCAAGGAAATAATGAAGCCATTTTTCTTAGCAAGTTTTTTCAAAACCACAAGAACTATTTTAAGCTAGTAATGCTTATATAATATTCAGAAACAATCACTTCTTAATAACTGAGCGTACTACGTCAAAGCAAAGAGAGGTTTTCTCCCTTCCATTTTATATTAATATGCAATTGAATTCTCTTTAGTCCCAACACTTCAGATGACACAACCAAAGTAATAAATCTAAGTGCTAGTCTACACTTATTACAGCAATTATTTCTAGCTTGCAATGATACCATTCATAATTTAAAATACCACTAGCAATTACAAATAAAAAGAAAAGAAAAGCTCTCTTTCAGTAACAGCTTGGGGCTACAAAGCCTGTACTAAGTTACATTAGTCTTTCTCCAACTTTCAGTTGCTGGGTTGACCTAAAAGTACTAGTTCTGGCTTTTGGTCATGGATACTCAAAGAGTATCAGCCATTATCTCAGCTGTAAGAGGGATCTCTGAAACACTCCCAGCTGCTTTCTCCACTGGTTTAAGTTATACAATGTCCTGCCCTCTTACCAGCATTCTGAAGGTTATGAAAATGTAGCACCCACCTACAGCCACTAAAAAGTAAATGCACACATACCTACTTTCTGAAATGATACAGTCCCAAGACTAAAACAGCTCATGTGATATCATGGATAAGCAATAAATAGTCTTGAGAACCCCAGCAGGATGGCCAATGAGCCTGCAAAAACCTTTCTGGGCAACCTTTGTTTGTTTGTTTGTCACATTTATATAGCTGCCCATCTCACGTAAAGCAGCCTTCGGTGGTGTACAACAATTAAATAAAATAGCAAATATATTTTAAAAACCCAATCATTATAAAAAGTAATTATTAAAATGAAAACATTATCAACAATTTTAAAATATACAAACCCCACGGAGAGAGCAGAATATCAGTCATAGTGGAGACACCTAAGAATGTCTCCAGTTCACAAAGACCCCCAGACCTGATGACGTTACTAGATCTTGAGGGACTTCCTAAAGGATAGCAGGGAAGGGGCGAGCCTCACTTCAGGAGGGAGAACATTCCACAAGGAGGGAGCCACGGCAGAGAAGGCCTGCCTCCTGGGACCCACGAAATGCAAGTCCCTGGCTGATGGAACCTATAGCATATCTTCCCTGCCAGATCTAATGGATGGACTGATGAAATTGGGGAGAGGTGGTCCCTCAGAACCATTAGGTTCCTTTCCTCACCTGCATGTTGAAGAAATTAAGAGAAGCTAGCATACTACAAAATAAATGAGCATGCAAACTTAGATACTCAAAGAAATCCACCATATAACAACAAATATTTTATGTATAGATGTGTGTGTACACACACACACACATACTACACACACACACACAATATGAAATATAAAATGATGACCAGCACATAACAAAATAACCACAGGGAGACTCCCACTCAACTGGCCCCTAATGCCTGAGGGAAGAGCCAGGTCTTAAGGGCTTTCCTAAAGGCGAGAAGAGTTGGGGTCTGTCATAGATGGGGGGCGGGAGGGAGAGATTGATCCAGGGAACAGGGGCAACCACAGAAAATACTTTGTTGAGAAACCACACTCCGAAAAAAAGGAAAAGGTAGGGAGAATAGTATAGGGGGGAGGGGGACCTAGAGGCTTAGCAGCCTTTTTGGGGATGGATAAGCTTCCCCCACCAACAGCCATTTTACAAAAGGATTTTCAAAATGTTCTCAAAATTTCAAACATATCCACCTGTCCCAAAAGAGCGGTGGTCCCTTACTTAGCTTGTTCTGAACATTTCACTGTGCTTTAGCTCTGGGAGATGACGTAATATTTTTTTCCCTTCAGCTTCAAAATTAAAGAGGAGGATAGTCCAGGCAATTATGTTGTATTCTGGAAATATCCCCAAACCCTCTGAAGTTCAGTGTGACAGTTGAGATATAACCTCATCCTATACTGAGAAAGAAGAACAAGAATTCTGCCTGGATACCAAAGATATAAACTGCTAACCACTCAAAACTATAGGTAGTCCTCGCTTAATAACCATTCGTTCAGCGACTCTTTGAAATTACAATGGTGCTAAATGAGGAGACTTACAACTGTTCCTTGTAGTTGCGGCGTCTCAGCGTCCCCCCAGTCACGAGATCATGATTCGAGTGCTTGGCAACTGGCTCACAATTACAAAGTAACAGCACTCCGCGGTCATGTGATCACTATTTGCGACCTTCACTGCTGGCTTTCAACAAGCAAAGTCAATTGGGAAGCCAGCAGGAGGTCACAAATGGTGATCATGTGACCGTGGGCACGGCAACCATGCGGGATTTGGCTAACAACGGCAACTGAGACTGCCGGAACTGCTGCCATAAGTCAGTGCAATCACGTAATGTCACACTTTACAACTGTGTCACTTAGTGACGGAGTTGCTGGTCCCAATTACCATCGTTAAGCAAGGACTATCTGTAATTCCTTTTAGCAGCTTTTATGGAGCAATTGGGGTATACCTGTATCCACAAATTATCTTTTGAAAAAGCTAATTGACCAAAGAACTATAGCTTAGGATTGTTCTTTTAAAAATATGCTGGAGGATACACTACAATATCATAGCCTGTATATGCCTTTTATCATCTCAAAAGCCTTGATTTTTCTAGAGCAATGCTTCTTAAACTTTTCTCTCTCAGCCCCCCTTCCCACTTTTAAAAATCATGGAGAACCCCAAAAGAGCTTTTCTTTGTATGAGTTATATTTATCAAATTTACCCTATTAAAAATTAAAATTGACATATTCATAGAATATTTATTGAATCATGTAAAAATAATATTAAGCCCACTAGATATTGACATAAAATAATTTTCATGAAAAACCGTGTATTTTTTAACAAAAAATAATGAGAAGAGTAACATTGTTTTAAATTTTCCAAATATCTTCAATATCTGGTAAACAGTTTTGATTTCACAGACCTTTGAGAGGGTCTTGGGGGACCCCCAGGGGTCCTTGGTACACACTTTAAGAAACAGTGAGCTAGAGGAAAAATCTGCAAACCTCCAGAAAAATGAATAACACTACTTTCAAGAAGCACAACTCACTTTCACTGAATGCAGAGAATCTATCAGCACCAGCTTCTGTTCTCTAATGAAATCACTCTGTTATACAATCATTTCAACTGCCTAAACTCTTTGTAATTTGGAACAAAATTATAGCAATGTATATACTCGTATTCTGTTTTGAAAAGCAAGGCCCTCAGTTCCTGCCATTAAAAACAGACTTTTAGGTTTAACAAAAATTATTTGTCAGGAGCACGCCAAGTATTGGAGCCAAAGTAATTTTGAGAGAGGAGAAAGAAGACCACTACATAGCTCTGGTTATAAATATCTTTTCTTAAACTGTCAATCACAGTTCTGGTGGAGAAGTTAACATGGTATTTTTATTTGAGCTTAATTTTCCAACACAAAATAAATTGCCAGAATTTGCCATTGTTACAGAATACATGCACAGCAAGTTGGTAGACCTAAATAATAAGATACTTGCCTATACAAGCAAAGCAATAAAAATATTCTCAATATATTAGGCAGGCTTTCTTCTGTACTTTTTTTTTACGTCCAACCAAAATAATGGTTATTTTTGGATCCTTATATCATGGCTTGTGTCTGAGCCAGATTGATGTAGTGAAGGCATCAGGCTAGAACCCGGGAGACCGAGGGTTCTAGTCCCGCCTGAGGCACAAAGCCAGCTGAGTGACCTTGGACCAGTCACTCCTCTCAGCCCCAGGAAGCAGGCAAGGGCAAACCACTTCTGAAAAACCTTGCCAAGAAAACTGTGGGGATTTGTCCAGGCAGTCACCAGGAGTCAACACTGACTCAAAGGCATAAATATATATATTTGCCTGGACAAGTCCCTATACACACACACACACACACACATATATATATATATATATACACAAATACACACATACACACACACACATATCATGGCTTAATAACTTATGGATATTAAACACAATACAGCAATGAATTAGCTCATCAAAGCCAAAGTTTGCATTGTTACCAGAACTGCCATATTGACAGTCACAAACCGTTTCACTTTTATCCAATTACATTACTTCGTATTCATTCCTTCTAACACATATATGCCAGCCAAGCTAACTCAAATCCAGTCTACACGTGGCTATGTCATAATCAATCTGTTAAATAAAGGAGCAGAAAGATTTAGTTTGTTCAATTGCAATATATTAAATAAAGCTATCATACCAAGCCAAAATGTTAAACCAACTTCACTTTGTGATTCAGTGCCTAGCTTGACTGAAATAGCCAAATATGGTTTCCTGTTTCATCTGAAATGGGAAATTATGATTAATTAAAAGCTTCCCCTAAAGTGCCAGAAATACAGGGAAAATCCTGTTCATATTTCTGTTTAAGCAGAAATACTGATTGCACAAACTAGATGAATTAATGAAGATATAATGTGGATTTCAGGTCAGTCAGCTCTGTGAGGAAAAATATGGTAAAATAACTAAGGGGGCATATCATTTCAGCTAACTCTTAAAAAGGAACTATTCCTTGATTATGGTGACATACAAATATGAGAAATAAATAAATATGACTTTGGTTTAGTTCACACTAAGCTGTAATGTGATTTGTACTGTTTTGCCTTAACAAATTGTGTGAATTCACCCGTTATGGTTTACCATTATTTGTTAATCATAACAGGCCATTACAGCTTGTTCAACAAAGCATTTTTAACTGAATTGTGACATAATATTATGGTGAACTAGGCCACCATCGAGCCAATGGCATAGATCACAACTACAAGCTTCAGGTCGTTAAAACTGCAATTAGCATCTTCGTATCAGGAGAATTTTGTGTTGGTTCCAAGTCAGGAATTGCAGTGCTGGTACACTGATTTTTACTGTTCCAGACTTAGAACTCAGCAACTTGCCAAAGTCTTCAATACTTTATCAGTCTTACAAAGCAACATTAGGCTATGCAGGCTATGCAATGCATTATTAAACAAGCCACAGAATTAAAACTATTGAAACTTGAATTCTTTGCCAAAGTGCCAAGTCTATACTTTCTTTTTGCTATAAAACAGGAATTCATAAACTCTATGATACTGTGAAATCTCTCAAAATGCTCAAATGAATTTGTGTGACATCCTCACCATGAATAAAACTATTGTTTTCATTGGCTCTTTGTGGTCAAGAAATAAACAGACTACCCACTATTAATAATTGATTTCTAACCTATATACAAATAAAACAATGAAAGAACCATAGAACTTTATAAAATTTTTAAAAAGAACATTTCATTGGAAACAAGCCAAAAGAAATTCCAGTTTTAATGCCAGTAAATTAAAAATTAAAAGCATATTTTAATGGGAAGCAGGAGCTTATTTATATTGCATAAGCTTGAAATTGGGATTTCATTTTGAAGGCAATCATTTTCATTCACCAAATCAGAGGAAACGGGGAGTTTCCTTGCCTTAAATTATCTTCTCTTAAAATGCTGCAGGTTACAGAATGTAGGCAAGCTATAAGCTGCTTAATTCTCTCTCTCCCAGCATAGATGCACTGTGATAACAATCGCAGCTCTCACCCATTATTCTCCCTTCCCCACTGTTCTATTTCCTTGTGCAGAGTGAATGTCAGATCAGAACCTGGAGACTGCCTGGACTAGTCCTTGCAGTTTTCCTGGCAAGGTTTTCAGAAGTGGTTTGTCACTGCCTTCTTCTTCCTATGGCTGAGTGACTGGCCCAAAGTCACCCATCCAAATTTGTGCCTAAGGCAGAACTAGAACTTGCTGTCTCCCAGTTTCTAGCCTAGTGCCTTAACCACTACCCTGAACTGGCCCTTCCTCGTGCATGATTACTCTGCCAAAAAGAACGTGTGGACTCCATCCAGGGCTCTGGAACCTCCCGTTGCTTTGCATTCAGCATATATCAAAATAAGCAAGCCTGCTCAGAAACAAGTGTCAGGAAAGTACAATTCTCCATCTGTTGTCCCACAACCCGCATGTGGAGAAACAGAGCTCTAGAATGCAGATCAGTAGCTATGCCAAATTAATTTGGAAGAGCCCTTCTTCAAGTAATATACTGAAGAAGAAAAAGTTGAACTGCCAATGCCTTCCCTACGAACTGGAAGATTTTTCATGTCATCAAAGCAGTGTTGGGAGTTACACACAGTGCTGACTAACTGCCAGAAGAGCCAAAGCTGCTGGCCAAACAGATTCTTCCTCCTCTTCCACACAGCTCATACGACTTCCAGTCTGCTCCAGTTTACAGGGGAAAAAATCTTCCAGACCAAATGTGGGGAAGGGCACAGAAAATAAATAAAAAGTAGGAGCCCTATCATCTGAAGAGAAATCCTGCTTGGATAACCTCAGACTGAGCCTATGCTATGGAAATACAGTACTTTATTTACACAGCATTTTCAACCTTAAAATGTTTCACCACTTTCTGGCTGCAATCAGGAACGAACAACATGCCTACAAATGAAGTATTATAGCTTTTCCATTCTAAAGAAAGTGTCAGTACAGGACAGCATGTTCAAGCCCTCCTAGTAAATTCAGGGCTGGAGGCAAAATATAAATTGAAGTCTTGGAAGCTCACAAAACTAGTTGCCAATCTACTTCCATACCAGCCTTCCCTAAACTTATGCCCTCTAGAAGTTTCTGACTTGCCAATGGAGAAAAATAAAAGTTGTAGTTCAAAACAGTTAGAGCACAGCAGACTGGGGATAACTGCACCGTTCCTTGAAAAGCTGACTGACACACTCCATTAAAAACAACAACAACAATCTGCTCAGGAAAACTGAAAGCTTAGCCTGTGGCTGATTACCAAACACCCTTAAACTTAACAAATTCTAACCCATAAAATGTTAATGAGATCTCTTGGAATATCTCAAATTTCCCATCATGCATTTTGAAAGTTTAACAATAATGATGATTACCTGCTATTTGTACAGAGCCATCCTCACCCAGAAGAATATTACCAGCTTTTAAATCCCTATAAAAAGGAACAAACAGAAAAGCATTTAAATTCAGATAAACAAGGATATGATCACTGGGGGTTGTGGGGGAGAGTTGTTGTGAAACAATATCACAGGACAAAATTAAAAACTTTCTGATTGTACGATCACAGATAATTTCATTTTAAAGATGGCAAATTGAGGGGAAAATATGCTATTCCGCTTACAAAAAGCTCATTGTTTCATTCTCATGTGAGCCGGAAAATCTCTGCTGAACTTCAGACTGTGCCGCTTAGCTTCCTTATCTCATGCAAAAGTACTCTATTATATTCTCCCAGCAAATCAAGGACTACAGCTGGTCTTGCATCAATCAATTAACTAATCAGTTCCCGTTTGATGTTGTGCAAGAGGGAAAGAAATGGAACCAAAGTAATTGTCAAGACAAGAAACTTCCATTCTTCGAAGCTTCAAGAAAGCAGCAATTTTTCTGCCACCTCCTTCCCCCACTCCAAACAATAGATAGATCAAAAAGGGTTTAGGTTTGATCATCCCCTTTGACAGGCTGAATAACTGCTAACATGTCTGATCTTGTGAACGGCTGAGGCATTAATCAACAAAGTGGTTAATTTAAGATTAAGATTTTATATCCCCTCACAATGACTTGCACAACTGCAGAAGAATTTACAGGATGAGTTCTCTCCCAATCAAGGTTGAATCGGGGTCCTTTTTGGCTTATCAGACCCTAGCCTTCTAGCCTTGAATTTATTTATTTATTTAATCAATGTATATAGCTGCCCATCTCAAATCAATAGAGTTAATCATGAAAAAGAAACTGTGTGTTCTCAACCCGTGCAGAATAAGGCAACATGCTTGTACCTGTGGATTTGCCCATTTCTGTGTAGATAGTCTAAGCCTTCCAAAACTTCTTTCAGAATTGTTGCTATTATTGATTCCTCAAGGACACCACTCTTGTGCTCTCCTCTGTTCACTACATATTTTATTATATCCAGCATTGAGCCTAGATTAAAAAAAAAAGAGATTGCACAAGAAAAATAGAACATCAATCTTTTCAGAAAACATCTTGCAGTTCAAGATTCATTATATATATTTACATTGCTCTAGATTTCAGTCTAAATTTTCACACTGAGACTGGGAATAAGCCAGATAAATGTGTTGCAATGCTAATAAATCCAGATAAACGTGTTGCGCACATATAAAATATACACGCACATCAATAAGACTGAGTACATGAAAAGGCATACAGAACTGGACCATACAATCGTAGGTACAAAATGTGCAACAAAATTACAGGAGGTACAAGAAACCTGTAATTAAATTGACTGATTGCTTCAGCAGCCTACTGCAGCTGAACTAGTGCTTTTATATGAATTTTAAATGAAGGCAGCCACATTTAAAGATACCTGATTGGCAATATAACTGTCAGATCACAAGCAATGTATACATTTTCCTCACTGAGAAACTTGAAAGAAAGTAGAATGAATTAGACAACCCCTGACCTGTTGGGTCATTGTTTCAGATATACTTCCTTACCTAAACAGAGAAACAAAATGACCAAGGGCAAAGTAACAGTAGGAGCGTGAGCGACTTACAACTTGCTGTTGGCTCCCCCATTGACTTAGCTTGTGGGAAGCTGGCAGGGAGCATTAGAAATCTTCCGCCCTCCCTCCCACGTATAATATAGGCCTGCACCATTTGCCGTCCCCTCATGAGACCCCCATTGAAGCCTCCTCCTCCTCCTCCTCAGCTGACCCATGGAACTGCCTGCCACTTTGCTGGGGGGAGGTGCAACAAAAGGAGCTGCAGACCGTGAGGAAAACTGCACCCCCCATCCTCATTCTGCTGTGTCCACAAGGGCCCCTCCCTTGAAGGAGAAAGAGGGCTCACCAGGTGATGGCAGGCGCCCCCCAGCCAGCCTTACCTCGCCAGCAGGCATCCAAGTCACTTGCTCATCCTTCCCTCAATGCCCACCACCATTAAGAGGTTTCAAATTTCTGCCTTGTTTCTAAAGCAGCCAATTGTTGCTTGCCTTTCAGGCCTTTCCATCAGCCAACTGGGCGCAGGGGACAGAGGGAGGTGGGGAAAAGGTTGGGGATACACCCATGACTATCACGTGACCTGGGTTGACTGAGGTGGCACAGCCACGCAGCAGTGCTGAAGCGGCTACAAATTTCCCAAATTTCAACCCCGCAGGAGTAATGGATCCTGGATTTTGGACACATTCTGTAAGTTAGCCCATTTGAGGTACCTTGGTTCAAAAAAATGTTGCCCTATGACACACTGTTTCACCCAGTTGAAGGTTACAGACACAAGAGTTTTAGTAGTATATAGATAGGAGGAGGCCATTTAGGCTACCAAATCTAATCCTCTGCTCAGTACAGAAATCTAAATTAAACTATTCTTGGCAGGTGGCTGCCAGCTTCCACATGAATATATCCAATTAAAGGAAAAGTACTGTAGAGTTTGTTCTAATATTCAGTAAGAATCTGCCTCCCTGTAACTTAAATACATTTTTCTATATTCTGCATTTGGCAATAATAAAAAACCTTTTTTCTATATGACATCCTTGTAGGTACTTGAAAAATGTTATCATATCCTCCTCATTTTTCTCTTCTCAAGGTTAAACATCCCATTGCCATAGTCTCTCCTCATAAGATTTAGTTGCACATCTGCTGATCATCTTCCTTGTCCTTTTTTTTTTTTTTTTGCATGTATTCCCTCAATAATTATTTTCTGTGATTTGGAAACTATACTTCACTGATGCGACCTAATACTGCAATTACCTTTTTGCAACTACATCACACTGCTGAACTCACATTCGGCTTGTAATAAATTACATTCCAATATCTTCTTTACATTTAGTATTACCAAGCTAGCATCTCCCATAACAGTGTGTTTGGCACCTAATTCCTAAATGGAGAGCTTAGCATTTATAATCTTTAAATTTCACTCTATTATTTTCAGTCTTTTTCTCAATAGAATTTCATTTCTATGATTTTCAACCTACCAAGATTGCTTTGAATTTCACGTTTAATTAATTAACCCAGCTTTGAATCATCCGCAAGTCTGATAAGCAATCAATAATGAAAATGCTGAAGCATACCAGACTCAGGACAGTCACGAGTCAGACTCTGCAGCCTCAAGCAAAACCGATACATCATGGCTCCCAGGTACTTTTGAGGGGTAATTAGTCACATTCCACCAATTTCTGGACTATGGCTAGGCTTGTGTTTCCATCACAGTCACACCACCTTGACTCTTCCTCTGGCCAGTCCCAGCCTCTGGATTTGGTTCTAGAAGAGGGAGAGGTTCCAACAAGCCTCCCTCAAAGTTGTCTTCTCTTTCCTTGCCAGGAAGAGTTGTTGTCAAACGGGGTGGGTGTGCATGCGTGCGTATGTGCACTTTGGGGTTTTTGCTCTCTGCAGGATCAGCTACCTGTGGATCACTCATGGGTGGACCACATAGGGCTATGGTAGTTCAAGCCATGACTCACCCAACTTCTCATTCCTTTGCCCCCCCCAGATTTTCCTCCCACCGAGCAAGCATTTTCCATCCATGCTGGGCCAGATCTTTGTCAAGCAGCATAGATATCTGGCCACCATTCCAGCTGGCACACTTCTGTAGTCCTTTCCAATCTCTAATCTTGATGACTGGAAGCATTCCTACTTCTAGGGCTCCCTGCACAAAAATGATCCCAGCTTCCATCGGTGGATCATCATGAGCAGCACCTTGCGCACTACTAAAAAATCTGCCCCCATGTCTCTCCTAGCGATTCATAATCATGGCAACTGTCCTCTTAGTAAGGATAACCTCCTCTCCATTAAATTCAGGTAGTGTTGAATCTGGCACTAGCTCTGGCCCAATGACTTGAGGATTCACACAGTTAATACGGGTTCCCAGTTTGGGGCAACTTTTTCTTTTTAACATTTCCAACTTTCCTACAGCAGAAATATCACAGTCAATAAACCTCAAGTATTAAATTTTATATCTTGCATTTATCTATTCTAAACTTGCCAACTATGCTACCAACTCCTCCTACTCTTAGTACTCAAGAGATCTGTGCTTCCTTACTAGTTAGCTGGACACAAGTGGGGTCTGTGACGAAACAATCCTCTACTGGATCAACATCATCTCTGCTATATTTCCATCTCAAAAGCAGCACACTTTCCCTCCATTCTGCCTTGAAAGCAGCATGTTTTTCCTCTAACTTTTGCTTCCCCATCTGCATCTTCCAGGAGTCTGCATCATGCCTGCCAGTCCTCATGTCCCTGGGCAATTCTTCTTGGCCTTCTTTGGCACTTTCCCCTGGGGTCAACATCCTGATCTGCATCTTCCTCTGCAGGGCTGGCCTTCTGTGTAACTTTGCCTCAACTTAGGAGCATGTACCTTTTCTACTGCCTTAACTGTACCCTAACTCTCCCTGATTTACTCAAGGGGAGGAAAGTGGCAAACCTCCTGCCTTCTCTTTAGTAGCTTAGCTGGACAGCTTGACACTGTCCACACAGCTGAAGTTGCCAAAATATGGGGTGTTCTTCACAGCCGACAAAAGTGCTCACCAAAAAGTATATAGGTAGTCCTCACTTAACCACAACTGGGACTGGAATTTAGGTCACTAGGTAATGTGGTTGTTAAATGAATCATCATGTGACTGTTTCACTTAGCAACTGCAATCCTGGCACTCCTGGCTGCCATCATTAAGCGAGAATCGTGGGTCGTTAGGCGATGCAGCTTCCCACAATCAAGTCAGTGGGGAAGCCAGCAGGAAGTTGCAAGCCCCACGCACTGCCAAGTGAGGAAGGGAGCGAGGGAGCGTGTGGGAGGGTCAGAGAGGGTGCTTGGTGGTGCGGTGTGGGTTAGGTGCATGAGAACCACTTGGATTTTTAACCCCAGAGTGGAGAGGCTTCAGAAGCCTCTCCACTCTGGAGCTGAAAATCTTCTGTGTCTGAACATCCTGCTTGGATTTCAGCACAGGGTATTTTCAGCCAGACCCCAGAGTTGAGAGGATTCCCTCTCATCTCTGGGGGCTGGCTGAAAAAGCTCCGTGCCAAAATCCTGCTTGGATTTCAGCATGGAGCTCTTTCAGCCAGCCCCCAGAGACAGAAGGGAGTCCTCCTGGTAGGCAGCAGTGGCTTGTGACCTTCCCTGCTAGCTTCCCCATTGACTTTCTGGGGAAGCCAGAAGGAAAGAAGATTGCAAATGGCGATCACATGATCATGGGGCATTTGACAACCAGTCATAAGTGTGAACCGACTGCCAAAGGCCCAGATTGCGATCATGTGACCATGGAAGTGCTACAACGGCCGTAACTTTGGGCACAGGTCATAAGTCCCTTCATTCATCACTACTGTAAATTCGAATGGTCGCTGAACTAATGGTCTTTAAGTGAGGAGTACCTGTATTCCTGTATTTTTTAATTAAGCCCTAGAACACGTAGCAAATAATTCCTTCAGAAATTTTCACACCTATAAAAATACTCCTTTTGGCAAAAAACTGGGATACAATAATCAATTAAAATCCTCAGAATTATCTACCACCAATTATAGATCAAGGCAGGCAGTCCTCACTTAACAACCACAACTGGGTCCGGCAACTCCATCATTACATGATGCGGTCATTAAGTAAACATCATGTGACCACGCCAGACTTTATGGTGTCAGTTTGCTGCTGTTGTTAAGCAAATCACCTGTGGTTGTTAAACAAGACATCACATGATGGCAACTTGCAATTTTACTGCTCCATTGACTCTGCTTGTCAGAAGCCACAAATGGCAATTACACAATCACGGGATGCTGTGACAGTCATAAATGTGCACCAGTTGCAAAGCACCCAAATGGTGATCACATGGCCACAGGGATGCTGTAACTGTCATAAGTTTGAGGACTGGTTGTAAAGTTACTATTTCAGCGCTGTTGTAACTTCAAACGGTTGCTAAACAGGGCAGTCATTAACCAAGGACTACCTGTAGTAGCTTAGCCAGAATGCAAGTGGCTCAAATGTCTAGAGGGAAAGATTATGCTTAGGGGCTCATTCTAGCCTTGCAGATATTAACTAGTTGTAAATAAAGTGCTACATCTAACACTTTGTTTGAAAGTCACTGATTGATTAGAAAAAAATAATTCCAACAGAGGACTGCATTTTCATATTTACAGTAAAAAGACTCACCTCCACTTAGTAGTTTCATAACCAACCAAAGCTCATCCTTGACCACAAAAGATGTATAATACGTAACTACGTTGGGATGGCTGCATTGACTCATGGCTTGGATTTCTTTCTATAAAGAAGGCAAAATATGACATAATATTCTTGTAAGGAAAAATGTGGTTTTAAAGTTTCATAGCTATTTGGTCTCAGGGAATGTATACACTGGATGAGATTAAGAAATGAAGTTAAGTGTATTCGTCATTTAAGAATGTCAGGCTTGCAAATTTCAGAGAGAAATAATGCAACTAAACTGAATTCCTCTCAAATGGATGCCCTCCTGAGATGCTGAGATGCAATTTCCATCATTTCCAGCAGTTTGGCTAGTTTGATGAGTTAATAAGATTTCAGTTTATTTTTCAAGAAAAATGCAACTATTTTTCTGCCAGGTCTCATCACAAAAATTATTATTTTCTATCCTTCTTATGGATTGATACCTGAATCTTTTCCTTATGAATCACCTTAATATTACCAACATATTCTATATATTTTAGAGCAGTGTTGTCCAAACTTGGCCACTTTAAGATGAGTGGACTTCAACTCCCAGAATTCCCCAGCTGGCTCACTCACTCACTTAAGTGGGCTCAAGTGGACTCACTTAAGTCCACTCATCTTAAAGTGGTCAAGTTTGGACAACACTGTTTTAGAGGAAAGGGGGATCATTAAGTCTAAATCATCACACATTATAATGAATAGATTTTTTTTTTGCCTTGTTCTGGTTTAGATATTTGTTTTGTTTAAAGTACCTCTGGATAAAGATACAACTCAGAACATCTGCATTTTTAAATATCACAATTATTTTCTTCTTGCCTTAATGGACCATTTTATCCCTTTGTTTAGTAAGATTAAAATTTCTTTTATATTACATTCTTCCAATCCAAAGGAACAGCAGTTGTCACTAGGATAAATACAGCAATAACATTTAAGTGGCTTGAGTGATGATTTTGTAAGCCGTATTTCATTCAAAATGTATCTCTTCATCTTTAGGATCAATGTGTGAAAAATCAGTTCTATGAGCTTTCAACATAGCACCGAATGATAAGTCCTTGTAAGATCTTCTCATATTTCTGAAGCAGATTTTAAAAAATGTCTCTTCTAAATGCAAAACAGAAAACTCAACGTGATGCAAGTGCCATGCACATTCCTTTTGCTTTAACAAAAAAAGACAGCATGTGAAGCAAAAAAAAATGCCATATTTTAAAATATCCTGGCATGTATCAGACAGGCAGCCATTCAACTGCAGAACCACAAAATCAAATTGTCATGATAGTTATAAAATTGGCAATACTAAGCTGCAATACTATATGTGAATGCTCTAAAGAATTAGCAAGGTCATCCAGATAATAGTGGCAATTTCTGATTCAGTGAGGAAACAGATAGTAGGATAGATCTAGATACTGGATCTGTTTTACAGACAGATTGCTATACCATGCATACAGTAAAATGTTGTGGTAGATATAACAGGCCATCAAAAATCCACATTGCTTGTTCACAGCAGCTTATTGTAATTAATCTTCCAAGTTCAGGTAGAACAATCATACACAAGTAATGTTTATAAGACAGTCAAGAACTCTTAAGCCAGCCTATCAAACTTTGATTTATTTATTTACTTCTGCTTATTCTACCTACAAGCAATTCATCCATACTGGTCTGGCATTTTTCCAAGTTGATTCTTTTTATTGCTACGCGTTCCTGCCTGGGTTTGCAGAGCGCTGCTTGGACTACGGCGGTAGCACCACTGCCTGGAAGAGACAGAAGAAACAATGGGTTGAGTTTTGCCTATTGATACAGCTATTTCCAACCTGTATTCTTTAAAAAACAACCTGGGGCTTCTGAGGAGCGTTATCTCTATTAAGATCAGCTTAAGAAAGAGCTTGTCGGTCACCCTTCACACTGTACTGCAAATCATACCTACAAGGAACATTGCATGTAGGTGCCCAATGTGTTCTTGCTCCATCTCAAAGAATTAAATGTAACCCCAGAGCTTCTCCAAAATTTTAATATGAATGCAAGAGAAAGCAAAGATTGTTGAATACACAGGAAACTATTTTATTAATTATATTGAATTACTGTAATTAAACCGAAATAAAACCAAATTTAACTTTTGTCCTACTCCTGCTCATTTGTGACCTTAGGCATTCACATGTGGGCCAGGGCAACTCCCAGATTCAAAGGAGTACACATCCCATCTCTAGAGGACAGGGGTACAGAAAAGTAGCTGGCTCATTAGGGAGGCATCTTCTGATTGTCCACTCAGTTCCTGCTATTTTGGAATGTTATGGTCAACTTCAGGCAAGCATTTTCTTTAATGGCCAGATCGTTTATGAAGAATTATTTTATTACAGATCAACTTTAAATGGTTATGCTATTTGAAACATACATTATTTCTTCATATAATTTAACACATTTGTAAATTGCAGAAACACTATAGGGAAAAGTCACAAATGCAAACTTGAAGTCATCTCATTTGCCTCTACCAGGATAAACTCTGAGATCACATTGAATGGGTCCATATATGTCCCGGTGATACAAATGGTTGGTTGGCTGGAGCATTGCTTCTGAGGTTGTAGAGGAAGCAGGTTGTGATCTCACCGCAGGGGTTAAGATGTGCACTTGGGGAGGATTAAAAATAGGAGCATTAAGGTTATAGGAACTATGACATACCTTTTTTGCTCGTCACTATGGGAAAAAAAGTGCAAAATTATGCCACCATATTTCTCCAGCATGATTTTGGAGGTTCTGAAAACCCCAAGAAAGGGATCAGGGATGCGGGAGGCAGCACGCAGCCATAGGTTGCCCAGATCTGACACAGAACCATGGGGAGGCCTAATAGCACTCAGTATGAATGACCTACCTGCTTTAGACTTTCCAGGAATAATTTAAAATATATGAAAATATTTCATTGCAGACATTAGAATTGTGTGTAAATATGCCATACTGAAAGCTTGGTTGTTATTTTTAGTAGATCTGTTTATGCATACATTTATTTGGAGTAAGTAATGTGGTATCTATGATATTTTTTCCAGGCAAGGTACTTGACCCCAAAGACTTCAGATTTTTTTTAAAAAAATAATTAATTAAAACATTAAATAGGAAGCTGCCATGCTGAAAAGCAAAGCAGCTTCTATCATTGCATTTATTTATGAGGATGGCTCTGAGCCAGAAATAAAATAAAAATGGAGAATCACTGCACCATGTTTGGAAACATGTCCACCTACCCAGAAATAAAAAGACAAAGCTAAGACAGAGTGGCAGGCAGCATCTTAGGGACTAGAGGGAAGCAACCTAAGTTATTAGCTTCTGATAGCTTTTTTGTGACCAGCAACGCCCATCATGGCAACCGTTCTATGAGAGCGTGTGCAACGTGCTCTCAACATTTCAAAAATGCCTATCAGCCCCCAAGGCTGTCTATCCCTGCGATGGATATTTCCAAAACAGGCAGTCAAGCAACAGAAATAGAACACTATTTTCTGCAAGTAAACTAATAATATAATAGTTCATTCATCCCTAGCATTTGCAATACTCTGAGAAATTTGACCTCATTATTGTTCCCACCCACTGAGAAGAAAAAATGGATTTACGGTAGAAGAACACCTAAAGGGTATGGAAGAATAATTCAGTCCAAACATTTCATATTCAGAAGGCTTCATTATTAAACATTGATTTCTTTAGTAGTTTTCTGTACTTTTACTGGAGAAGTGAATTGGCAAGAGGACTCATTTTCAGTTTATACGATTTCTGTCTCTGATTGGACTCTCTCATCTGCAGTTACAACAATATTCTGACCTTACCCAAATGATTGCAGACGAAAGCTCAGTGAATAAAGGAGACCTTGTAGGAAAATCACTTTAGATTTGAAGTCCATTTGAGGTCATAGTTAAGCAAATGGTTCTTTTGTTTATCTGAAGGGCTGGTGAGAACACTGATTCCTGGAAAGTTGGCACAAGTGCTTTAAATGAGAAAATATAGCAACTGTGGATTGATACTATCATGTTTTCTCCAAACTCAGGAAAAATATCTAGAAGCCATGATTTGCAGAACAGTGTTCCCCAGTTAAGCTTGTTCTAGAAACCAACATTCCACAGGGCAAGTTATGTAGTGTAAAAGCACCCAGAAATATTTTGAAAGAACCTAACCATTCTCATCTCTATTCCTGATTAACTCAAGATTTAAAATGTCAAACAACGCTCAGCATTTCAGCACCCAACACCAATTCCGTGAACAGATACACTTGTGTGAGATATTGCAAATGATCTTCTCAAACACTGGCTTCTGCTCTGCCTGTCCATCTTGCAAGCCCTAAACAAACACAACATGCACATAAAAAGCCTTTTGTTAACAAGCTTTACAATGAAAACTCAGTTATGTGCTTGGAGCAAAACAATGGGGCGCTCTTGCCTCCCATCGATCAACAGAACTGACATAATCTCATGACTGGAAACTATTGTCCGTGTTTTAATTGATGTTTGCTAACTAATTTAAAAATAGGATGTTCTGTATGCAATATGCATCCTGCCATGCTTTAAAGACAAAGCTTGTAGCTCATAATATCTACTCAATTAGATTATGAATATACATAGGCTAAGCCACTATCTCAATGCAGGAACAAGTGCTTTGACATACTAATTGATTGTACCATTTTCTCCCCAATAATTACTTTAAAAAATTAAATGAAAACAGACGATGGTGCTTGGAAACACTGTTTGTTTGCCTGTTCTCCTTCCATGGATTTATGAAGTATAAAATGATTACCAATCTATTTTGTGCATTATTTATTTATTTATTTATTTATTTACACACACACACACACACACGATTTATACTCTTTTTCTGACACAGGGCACTCAAGATGGGTAATAACAAAAATAGAATATAAACATTCAACATTGTATACAGCACTTAACATTACTATTAAAACTAACTCGCATTGCAAAACCTGGTTGAAGGAGTTTTTGACTCCTTTCCTGAAACTAGAAATAGTGGTAACTGAGTGCAACATCTGCAGAGGTATGTTTCACAGCTTCCAAGCAGCATAGCAGAAAGCCCTCTTCCATATATATACTTGACAAATGGATCTCAAGGGGTACCTTTAAGAAGGCCTTGTCTGGTGTCCTTAACAACCAGTCACATTCAAATTCAAATAAGCAGTCTCTCTGGTAGCCAGCCCCTAAACCAGTGTTTCTCAACCTTGGCAATTTTAAGATGTGTGGACTTCAACTTCCAGAATTCCCCAGCCACACATCTTAAAGTTGCCAAGGTTGAGAAACACCGCCCTAAGCCATATAGGTTTTAAATTTTAAAAACAGCATCTTACATTTTGTTTGGGAAACAATGTGGCAACTATTAGATCCCAGTCCTTATCATTCCTGATAGAAGACCCAAATCCTCAGCATAAATGGATTAAGAAGAAATATTTCAGATGAAAGTTCTCAAGCAGTTCAAGCAAGACTCACAAGGAAAACTTGTCCATTCTAGCATGTGGCCTAAACTTATCAGAATCATCCTGGGGCAGTACTTTTTTTTTTTCATTGTAGAACAAACATATAAGCTGAGTATATAGTTTGATGCAAACTCAGACAATTATATCTTATTCAACAAACCTAAATTAAGGATAGTTTGACACAATATATGAAACGTCATTTTTAAAAAGGCCCAAGACAAAGGGAAATTGCTTCAAAGCAATATGTCCAACCCATAATGAAAAACCACCACCCAAAGGAGACTAACCTGGTATCCTTCAGAACTTCTAGAATCCCCAGCCAACCTTTGGGTAAGTTGATGGTAACATATACTGTAATGGGTTATTCTGTGTTGGCACTTGCATTTGAACCTTCCTTCCCTAAGATTTCTCCTTCCACTCTATGGCATTTCACTGCCACTTTTACGTAACTCTGATTTTATTGCTGATTAATTTGTTGACTCTGTTCTTGCTTTCTGTTACTTCTTTTAGTCTGGCATTTTGTGTTTTAATTATGGATTGCTATTTTTATGTCAATTTTCACATTATGTATGTACCCTGAGTTACTCTTTTAGAAGAAGAAAATTGGGTATACATTTTTAAGTAAATAATGTTTAAAAATAGCAGTAGAGAAACAACTGTTCAAACAAAATAAATGACAATTATGTTTTTTGAATCACAGCGCATTTAGAAAATTATAAATTTGTAACCATCTGATCAAGAAATAGGCAGGTTCTCTAAATTCACCAGAGGCCCAAACAGATTATAAACTTCATTGCTCTGTATTGATCCAATTCAATGTTGTTCTGGGTATGAAACAGACTCCTTACCAGGAAAGCCATGTGTATATTGTGTGGATTAATTAATAATGTTCACCAACAACCTGCAAAATGTGACAAATGCTTGAAGATTTCCTACCACTGAAAGGCCTCTTAAGGAAAAAGGCTGCACTCTTATGAGTTAAGGGACAGACCACAGCTTAGTCACACACAACTGTAGCAGGTCTTTTCTTTTTCTACCATCTCAGAAAATACAATGTTTTCATCACTTTTGTTCTAAAAGAACCCCAGTATATCCACCCAGCTATTGTCTCAGCATTCACTAAAACAAAGAAAAGATATTCAGAATTCAAACTGTTAACAAGATATGTCTTGTTGCAGTAGGAAAAGCAAGCTAGAAAGCAACATTGTGCCAAAATTTATCATGAAAATTTTTCTTTCCTTGTATAAGAGGATTATGGCTTTCTATTTAATTCTCAGGGTGTTTTCAATTTCTCTGAAGTTT